CACAAGGACAGTTTTTCCCCGAATGCCATCACTCTGCTAAACAACTAATTCCCTCAACACTGTCAAACTATTTACTAAGTCTGCACTACTATTAATCTTCTCATCTTCTCATCATTCCCATCACCCATCTCCTTCCACTTATGACTGTAACTTTGTTGCTTGTATCCTTACGATTTATATTGATATTGTTTCCTGATTGCTTATTTGTATCCTATGACTATCAAGTGTTGTACCTTATGATTCTTGATGAACGTATCTTTTCTTTTATGTACACCAAGAGCATATGCACCAAGACAAATTCCTTGTGTGTCCAATCACACTTCGCCAATAAAAAATTCTATTCTATTCTATTTTGCTCTTTCTTTCTGTTTCCCTCATTGTTTCCCTCCCTCCCTCCCTTCTTTGTTTTTCTTTTTCTTTCTCTCTCTCTTTCACTCTTTCTCTTTGTCCTTCCTTTTCCACTTTTTTCTTTCTTTTTCTTTTGCTCTTTTTTCTCTTTCTCTCATTTTTTCCTTTCCTTTCCTTTCTTTCTTCCTCTCTGCTTCCCTCCCTCCTTCCATCCCTCCATCTTTTCCTCCCTCTCTCCCTCTTTTCCCAAAAATCTTTTTCTTTCTTTCTTTCTTTCTTTCTTTCTTTCTTTCTTTCTTTCTTTCTTTCCTTCCTTCCTTCCTTCTTTTCTTTCTTTCTCTCTTTCTCTTTGTCCTTCCTTTTGCACTTTTTTCTTTCTTTCTCTTTTGCTCTTTTTTCTCTTTCTTTCATTCTTTTCCTTCCTTCCTTCCGTGCTTCCTCTCTCCCTCCCTTCTCCAGCTTTTTTTTTTTTTTTTTTTTTTTGCATATCTCTGAATTTTCCTACAACGAAGTCTTTTGATCCAGAGACTGCTGAAAAGTTATTGATCTGGGATCATTTGAAGAAGTACCAGCCCTCTTTAAATTTAATATTTGTAAACTTCATTCTACTAGAAATAAAAAATGTTGAAAGAAACACCTGCATGCAAAAAGGGCTTACCTATTATTTTCCCATTTTATTTTAATAACAAAAGAAAAAAGAAAAAAGGAGGAAAAAACATGGTTTAAAAATGTGAAGGTGTATCTGAATCTATCTAAAATACCTAGAAATATGATATAGATTGTTAGTATGATTTATGCATAAATAACGTATAAGGTTAAATAATTATAATATTAACATTAATATAATTTGTATTAGTTTGAAGTGTTGGAAGATGTTTAGAACCAGTGATGTCATATCTATGTCCGATATTTTTAATTTTGAATGATTAATAAAAAAAACTTTTTAAATAAATAAATAAAAAAGAATCTACCTAAAATTCAAAATTCATCAAACTATAACAAGTATGGCTTTGCACGCTAAGGGCTAGCAAAAAATTAATAATATTATTTTAGAAAGATGGTGTTATCCTGGTTCAGCAAACTTGGATTGATGAGATCTGTTCAATTCCTGCTTATAAACTGGCATTTTATCAGACTGGTCAATATTCTGGTATGTATCTGTATTTTGTATAAGACAAAGGATTTATTTGAGTTTTTCTTTCAATGGCTTTTGGACAAAATGCAAGCACAGCAAATGTGATCAGTGCAATAAACCGGGGACAATTGCAGAAGATGTTTGGACAACTTCAAAACTGTGGGTGCTTTGTATTCAAAAACATGGTGAATATGTGAAGAATTAACCTTCTCCAAACAACTATGCTAACTCCTAAACAATTTTCCCTTTCTGTAGCATTTCACAAATTGTGTGTATCTTATACACAAATGAAGTTATTAAACATTAAAACTGAGCAAGGATTTTTGTGGACGCTCTGTATATATAAATGCCAAAATATAATTTAGAAATAGATGGTAAGCACATGTTGACTGCAACCGCATTCATTATATTACCTCCCCTAAAAATGTGAATCCTCTTAAGGGCAAAAATGTTGGAAAACGTTTGGTTTGCTTAATGGGGCAATCCCTGCATGTCCTAAATATTTACTTACTATGCCATGATTACAGAAAGTTTGAGAAACAATGGCTTAGGTCCTGTGGACTGAAAAGCCTTGTGGCTTCTCTCTTTGGACAATGGCCATGGGTTTTGCGTTAAAAGGACTTTAAACATAACATCCTGTTCGAAGAAAAATCTGGTCTACTTCAGGGGTGGGCTTCAAAAATTTTAGCAAGGGGTTCTCTGCCCGGTTGCTGGGTGGGTGTGGCCATGGTGGGCGTGGCCTCATTGGCCTCCTGCACCACGGCAAGGGGGGGTGTTTTGGCCCTCCCCGGGCTCCAGAGGCTTTCCTTGAGCATCCGGGAAGGCGAAAACAGCCTCCCCAGGCTCCAAAGGCCCTTTGGAGGCCAGAAACAGGCCCATTTCTGGCCTTTCCGAACTTCTGGTAGGCCTGTTTTTCGGCCTCCCTGAGCCTCCGCGCGTGCCCTGCACTTACCTGCATCCAAAAAGGGCCGCGTGGGGACTCCTGGGAGGGGAGGGGCGGGATGGGCAGGGTCAGCCAGGAGTGGGATTTGGGGGTTCTCTGATCTGCACAGATTGACATTGAAACAGAAAGAGAATATTACCAAACATAGAATTTATTTGACCAATGGTTGGAAAAGAGGGGTGGCAATTAAGAATGCAATATGTATTGTTAAGCCAGGGGTATCAAACTGAAGGCCAGGGGGGGGCAGGATCTGGCCCATAGGGTGCTTAGATCTAGCTCACGGGGCCACCCTAGAAACAGCAAAGGACCGGCCTGTGGTGCCTCTGCCATTGAAAACGGAGCGTGGCCCTCCCGAGCTCCATTTTCAATGGCAGAGGGTTGCAGGAGACCATCGCAACCGGAAATGCACGAGCCCTGGTAGCGCAGCACACTAAAGCACTGTTATTAACATCAGCTGCCTGCAATTACTGCAAGTTCAAATCTCACCAGGCTCAAGGTTGACTCAGCCTTCCATCCTTTCTAAGGTAGGTAAAATGAGGACCCGGATTGTGGGGGCAATAAGCTGACTTTGTAGAAATATACAAAAGTATGAAGGCTATTGCTTAACGCCTTGTAAGCCGCCCTGAGTCTCCGGAGAAGGGCGGCATATAAATCAAATAATAAAAAAAAAAGGATCCCGGGAGCCCGTTTTCGCTGGCAGAGCGCTCAGGCCACCATAGGTGCCCCCCGATACAAATGACGTTGAGCTGGCCATACCCACCCTGGCCACGCCCACCCCAGCCTCCCAAGGTCAAATGCACCCTTGATGCGGCCCTCAATGAAATCGAGTTTGACAACCCGGCGTTAAGCAAATTAAATACCCAGACTGTATGATGTTTATTAAATACTCTAAGAAATGTATTTACAGAGTTACAGATTAACAGAGTTGGAAGGGACCTTGTAGGTCATCTAGTCCATCCCCCACCCCCCACCCAGTGGTGGGTTGCTCCCGGTTCGCACCAGTTCTATAGAACCAGTAGAAAAACCAGTGGGAGGCTCCGCCCACTGACCCTGACATCATCAGAACGCTTCCGCGCATGCTTTGCTCCCGCGCGCACGTGGCCCCATTGCGAACGGGTAGTAAAGGTAAGTAGAACCCACCCCTGCCCCCACCCCACCCAAGCAGGAGACCGTACACCATTTCTGACAGATGGCAGTCCAAGCTCTTCTTGAAAGCTTCCAGTGATGAAGCTCCCACAACTTCTGAAGGTGACTTCTGTTCTATGGGTTGATTGCTCTCACTGTCAGGAAATTTCTCCTTTATTTAATAGAAAAATCAATCAATCATAATCATAATAAAAAGAAATGGTGTAAGGCAGTGGTGAAATCCAATTTTTTTTACTACCGGTTCTGTGGGCGTGGCTTGGTGGCTTGGTGGGCGTGGCTTGGTGGGCATGGCAGGGGAAAGGATACTGCAAAATCTCCATTCCCACCCCACTCCTGGAGGAAGGATACTGCAAAATCTCCATTCCCACCCCACTCCAGGGGAAGGATACTACAAAATTCCATTCCCTCCCTACTCCTGGGGGAAGGATACTGCAAAATCTCCATTCCCTCCCCACTCCTGAGGGGAAGGACATTGCAAAATCTCCCTTCCCACCCCACTCTGGGGCCAGCCAGAGTGGGGTATTTGCCGGTTCTCCGAACTACTCAAAATTTCCGCTACCGGTTCTCCAGAACCTGTCAGAACCTGCTGGATTTCACCCCTGGTGTAGGGTCTCCTGCGGGGGGGGGGGCCGGGATGGGGGAAAGGGAGGCAGGTTGGACTAGATGACCTCCCTGGCACCTCTGTTAATCTGTTAGGTGGCTTAAGCAGCGAAGACACTGAGCTTGCTGAAGAAGGATTTTTTGCCTACTATTGATGATTGGATATTGAAAGTAACTAATTTAGCTGAAATGGCTAAAATTTCAGCATATCTGAAGGATCACGCACAAGAAAGGTATATAGAGGACTGGAGAAGATGGATTGATTATATACAAAATAAGTATCAGACCAAAAAATATCAAATAGCTTATGAATGATCTCTTTTATTTGTATAAGCGCTACAGAAGTATTATGTTTAAGAAATAGGCTTTTATATATGGGGGGTTAAGAATTTTTTTTTTTAGGGGGTCTTAGTTTAATGATTGGTTATGCAATTTAGTTTATTGTTAAAGGCCAATAGAAATACCTTGTGTTCTGCTCTGGGAAGTCGGGGAGGGGGAGGGGGGTTGGGAGGGAGGGTTGTGGGGAAATTGTGTTTGTTTTAAAACTTTTTCAATAATAATAAAAAAAAAAAGACACGGAGCTTGCCGATCAGAAAAATCGGCAGTTCGGCGGTTCGAATCCCTTAGTACAGGTCTCCTGCCTGAGCAGGGGGTTGGACTAGATGACCTCCAAGGTTCCCTTCCAACTCTTGTTACCCTTACTAATCTGTTCTCTCGGGCGGGTGGCCCACCTGTAGCCGGCGTCGCCCTTTTAAGAAGCGCTCGCCCACCTACCCACCCACCCCTCCCTCCCCTCCTTCCCTCCCTCCCCTCCCTTTTCATCCGAGGAAGAGTTTGCGAGCGGAGCTCTTCCCCAAAGCGTCACCCAGCAGCAGCTGTTTAGCGGAGCGCAGCCCCGGCTGTTCCCTGGGAAAGAAGAGCGGCGGCTCCTCCGGCTCTTTCCCCTTCTCTCTCTCTCCCCCCAGCCGAGCCAACGCCGGAGCCGAGCGATGGTGGCGGCTCTTTCGGGCTCAGCTCGGTGAAATCCGCGGCCGGAGCCAGCCCGGGTCTGGTGTTTCCCCCTTCCAGAAGGCAAAATGGGATGTTGCACCGGGCGCTGCACTTTGATCTTCCTCTGCACTTTACAGCTGGTAAGCACGGATGCTCCTGAGGCAGAGCGTTCCGCAGGCGCGCCGGATTATTCATTCCCATCACCGGGCGACTGGGATTCGAACTCGCGTCCTGCGAGTCTGTCTGTCTGTCTGTCTGATTTACGGTTTGGCGAGGCTTTCCCGAGTTCCCTCCCCCCCCCCAACTCTTTGTTGTGACTCTTTCGTGGTTTGGGGGGTTCACACAACATGGAAAAAAGGGGCTCCTCTCTTTTCTCGCGGGGCAGTTCGCCCACTGGTCCTTAAAGGGGTCGGGGGGGGGAGGGGGGGGGGGGGGGGGGGGAAAGCTGGGTTCGCATCGCGCCTGAATTCTCTCCCCCTTTAACCGACTAAATCGCGGTTCATATTAAGCTTAATACGAGTATCGTGTGAACGCGGCCGGTTGGTCCTTTCGGAAAGCGGTGCGGTGCGAATAGGAGCGCTGGAAAGGTAGCCCAGGTGGGGTTTTGACTTTTTTGCCCCCGTTTTGGGAGCCCAACACACATTTTGGGTGCCTTTTCAGAAGGCAACTGGACTTTGTTGTTGTTGTTGTTGTTTGTTTGTTTGTTTTCTTTTCTTTTGAAAAGAAGCTTTTTGGATGAGAAGCCAAACGTCTTCAAAAGAAAAGAAAAGAAAAGAAAAGAAAAGAAAAGAAAAGAAAGGAGAGCCTTGGTAGTACAGTGGTCTAGAGCACTGTTATTAAGACCAGCTGCCTGCAATTACTGCAGGTTCGAATCTCGCCAGGCTCAAGGTTGACTCAGCCTTCCATCCTTTCTAAGGTAGGTAAATTGAGGACCCGGTTTGTGGGGGCAATAAGCTGACTTTGTATAAATATACAAAAGGATGAAGGCTATTGCTGAGCACATTGTAAGCCGCCCTGAGTCTCCGGAGAAGGGCGGCATATAAATCAAATTTTAAAAAAAACACCAAAGAATGTCCGGTTGCTTCCTGAAAAAGGACCTTTTGGGACAATTGTGACCTGGATGACTGAGAATCTCTTAATAGCAGGGGTGAAATCCAGCAGGTTCTGACAGGTTCTGGAGAACCGGTAGTGGAAATTTTGAGCAGTTTTGGAGAACCGGTAGCGGAAATTTTGAGTAGTATGGAGAACCAAGCAAATACCACCTCTGGCTGTGAACCACCAGACTGGGGTGGGAATGGAGATTTTGCAATATCCTTCCCCCCCAGGAGTGCGGAGGGAATGGGGATTTTGCAGTATCCTTCTCCCAGGAGTGGGGTGGGAATGGAGATTTCACAGTATTTATTTATTTATTATTTATTTATTTATTTATTGGTTCGATTTATATGCCGCCCTTTCTCTGGAGACTCAGGGCGGCTTACCATGCATTAAGCAATAGCCTTCATACTTTGGTATATACCTGCTCAGTAGGGCTTTCGCCCCCCCCTCCCCTAAGCGGTGTTCTTTTTTATACAAAGTCAGCTTATTGCCCCCACAATCCGGGTCCTCATTTTACCTACCTCGAAAGGATGGAAGGCTGAGTCAACCTTGAGCCTAGTGAGAATTGAACTTGCAGTAATTGCAGGCAGCTGGTGCTACTTAGCAGCACTTTAATCTGCTGCGCCACCAAGGCTCATCCTTCCCTTGCCACGCCCACCAAGCCACGCCCACAGAACCGGTAGTAAAAAAAAATGGATTTCACCACTGTCTTATAGGCACATTTCGGATGCATCAATCCTCATTTTTAAAAAAACCTGCCCTGCCCCTGAGACTTTGGGATGGGGCGTCGGTCCCACCTTTTCTCTCTATTCTGCGAATGAAAGATTAAAACTAAAATGCACCAACTCCCTAAACTCCTTGAAATTGGCTTGCGCATCCAAAAGCGATCCAAAAAAAAAAAAAAAAAAAACTTGAGGATTATTTTTTAAAAAAACAAAAACCCCAATGCTAGTGTTCCAATTTAGTTAGAGGAAACAGATGGAAATCAAATTGATCGAACTGTTCACCAGCTGTGCGTTTTCCTTTGGGGGAAGTGAACTGTGGAATAGCCATCCACCCACAGACTGGGGGGGGGCTGTTCCAAACTTGGGGTACACAACTTTGCCTTGGAAAGGAGTTGGGTGGTTAAGAAATGTTTCAAGTGGAATTAAAAGATCTTTCAAACTATCACACTACATATAATTACGGCGGCCAGACTAACCCTAATCCAATCCTGGAAATTAGAACAGTTGCCCACAGAACAACAAATAATTCAAAAAATATTTACCTGTGCAGAAATGGATAGATTAACTTTAAAATTAAACAACAAGGAAGACTCACAGTATTACAAAATATGGGACAGATGGTATGAATGGATCAGTCGAAAGAAAAAAAATTAAAGTCAAATACAGTAAGAAATTAAGGCTAACAAAATTACACCGTCATTAAGGAATCAAGGTTAATGTATATATATATTTACAAGTTCAAATATTATAGATAGATAATCCTGTTTGTCAGTTTTAGTATATATGTATATTTAGTATATTTAATATATATAGGTAATTTAGAATTATATCTTCTTTTTTAGAGTTAAGAACGTTTTGTACAATCTTTTATCTCTTTATATTGAATAAAGTTTGTTTTTAAAATTAAAAAAAAAAGATCTTTCAAACTACAGGTACCTCTTGACTTAAATCAGTTCATTTACTGACCGTTTGAGGTTACAACAGTACTTTAAAACCTGATTTATGACCATTTTTCAGACTTACGACCATCGCGGTCACACAAACCAAATCCAGATGCTTGGCAACTGACTCATATTTATGACGGTTGCAGTGTCCCGGGGTCATGTGATAACCCTTTTGCGACCTTCTGACCAGCTAAAATCCATGGGGAATTCACTTCACAACCGTGTTACTAACTTAGCCAACCTCAGTGATTCGCTTAACAACCGTGGCAAGAAAGGTGGTAAAACGGGGCGAAACTCGCTTAATTGTCTCGCTTAGCGGCAGGAATTTTTTTTTTTAATTTGATTTATATGCCGCCCTTCTCCGGAGACTCAGGGCGGCTTACAATGCGTTAAGCAATAGCCTTCATCCTTTTGTATATTTATACAAAGTCAGCTTATTGCCCCCACAAACTGGGTCCTCAATTTACCTACCTTAGAAAGGATGGAAGGCTGAGTCAACCTTGAGCCTTGGTGAGATTCGAACCTGCAGTAATTGCAGGCAGCTGTCTTAATAACCAGCTTAATAACAGGGTGCCTTAGACCACTGTACTACCAAGGCTCTTTTTTTTGGGACTGAATGGTGGTCGTAAGTACTTTAAGATCAGCAAAATAGTTAACCTCAAAACATGTTCCTTGCATCACCCAATTTTTTTTCAGTTTATTTTGTAAGGTTGGAACAACGGAGAGATTCCTTAACAATGGATGCAAATCCATAGAATGTCCAGGCGGATTGAAAAAAGGGGATTGTAGCTTGCAAACAAACACCGTGTGTTTATATCTCCCACGCAAGCAATTCAATGTGGGCTTAGTCCCGGTCAATCATTGTTTCTGCCAACCGAAAGCCAGTTCTGAAATTCTGGCATTGCATTTTCCATTCGTTCATCTTTCCTGTTTAATTTTTTTTAAAAAAAAAATCTTTGGGTTAACGGGAAAATAAAAAAAAAAACCCTCAACCCTACCAGTAGAGTTCATAACACCCTTTAGAAACTTTTAAAGAGGGGTCAGCTTCTTCTCCCTAGAATATTCCGGCTGTGCCAAAAATATTCCAGCCACCTTTTCATTCGGGCTCATTTTGCATTCGCCTCCAGTAGCTCCAAGAAGGATAATTTGGACTCTCCATTGTTAAGGGAAAAGCTTTGTGCTTCTGGTGCAAATCGGAAGGCAAATCAATTGATTGCGGGGAGGGGGGGATTAATACCCTGCCCTCGAAGAAAACTAAAGCAAGAAAATGCACACAGCCAAACAAAGGACACGAAGTTGCCAAATTTGTAAAACCCCCCCCCTTTTGCAAATACATAGAGCCAACCAAATCATTGCTTACTTTTTTTTTCTCCCTATCTTATTGTTATTACATATATGGGGATATTTTGGAAGTGTTTAAAGTAAAGAAAACCTCTCTCTTTCTTTCCTCTTTTTCTTTCCTTTCTCTTTCTCTCTCTTCCCTCCTTTCCTCTCTTCTCTCACTTTCTCTCTCTCTCCTTTCTCTCTCTTTCTCCTTCTCCTCTGTCTTTCCCTCTCTCTCTTCTCCTTCCCCACCCCCTCTTCCTCTCTTACTCTTTCTCTCTCTCTTTTCCTCTTTTTTAATTTTTCTCTTTCTCCCTTCCTCTCTCTCTCCTCTCCTCTCACTTTCTCTCTCCTTTCTCTCTCTTCTCTTTCCCCTCCCCCATCTTCCTCCCTTACTCTTTCTCTCTCTTTTCCTCATTTTTAATTTCTCTTTCTCTCTTCCTCCCTTTCTCTCTCTCTCTCTCTGTTTCCTCTCTTCTCTCACTTTCTCTCTCCTTTCTCTCTCTCTTTTTCTTTCTTCTTCTGTTTTTCCCTCTCCCTCTTCTCTTTCCTCTCTCCCTTCTTCCTCCCTTACTCTTCTCTCTCTCTCTCTCTCTTCCTCTCTTTTTAATTTCTCTCTCTTTCTTTCTTCCTCCCTTTCTCTTTCTTCCCCTCTCTCTTTCTCTGTCTCCTTTCTTCCCTCCTAGAATAGAATAGAATAGAATTCTTTATTGGCCAAGTGTGATTGGACACACAAGGAATTTGTCTTGGTGCATATGTCAGTGTACATACTCCTCTAGCTTTCTCTGTGTGTGTGTGTGTGTGTGTGTGTGTGTGTGTGTGTGTGTGTGTGTTTCTCTCTTTCTCCTCTGTCTTTCCCTTTTTCTCTTTTGCTCTGTCTCTGTCTCTCTCTCTCTCTCTCTCTCTCTCTCTCACCCCCATGCTCAGGGAGGGGCGAGAAATACGAATCTGTTCCCCTTTTGTCTTGGAAAAGGACGGGCTTAGTTATTCAGCTCGATAGGATTTTTTTAAAAAAAATCTTTGGGGTTTTGTGTTTTCAAACAGGGCTGGTCC